AATTGGACATAAACATTGCCACGTGTGAGTGTTTTTTATTTTTAACCAGAAAATAAACAGCAATTTTAATGGTGTTCCAATAAGAATTCATTGGTCAAATTTTCACAGAATGTTCTTTAGATAAAAATCTATATAAAAAACGAAAAAAACTATTTTTGATTGAAATTCACAAATAAACTGCATCTCTACCTTAAATCATGGAACTATAAACCCTAGTTCCATGCTTAAATGTACGTTAATGTTAATGAACGCAACACGGAAAAGATTTGCCGATGTTGTAGTGGCTTTGATTTTAATGGGAACCGACACGATTTTCTTAAATCAGGAAATTAGTTGTTTTCGAAAACTGAGCAATTGAAGAATAATTTAACATTATTTACTGTGATAACAGCTCATTTGAAACAGAACATTTTCGTGTAGCGGGCGAATATTTTCTCATTTTACAGTATCGGCCTACTAGCTGTCATTCAATCTAGGGTGTGAATTGTCGGGTGTGAAAGCACACAATTTGGTTCTTTGTCACAGTTGTTTTATGAGGAGTGGGATGACTAGTTAAGTACCATCTGTTTATTTAAGTAATATCTCAACTAATCAGTCTGATACAGTTAATCCCTTGACGTGTTTTTTTCCGCGGATGTCAGTGCCAGATGTCAGTACCGCGGATGTCAGTACCAGATGTCAGTACCGCGGATGTCAGTACCAGATGTCAGTACCGCGGATGTCAGTGCCAGATGTCAGTACCGCGGATGTCAGTGCCAGATGTCAGTACCGCGGATGTCAGTGCCAGATGTCAGTACCGCGGATGTCAGTGCCAGATGTCAGTACCGCGGATGTCAGTGCCAGATGTCAGTACCGCGGATGTCAGTGCCAGATGTCAGTACCGCGGATGTCAGTGCCAGATGTCAGTACCGCGGATGTCAGTGCCAGATGTCAGTACCGCGGATGTCAGTGCCAGATGTCAGTACCGCGGATGTCAGTGCCAGATGTCAGTACCGCGGATGTCAGTGCCAGATGTCAGTACCGCGGATGTCAGTGCCAGATGTCAGTACCGCGGATGTCAGTGCCAGATGTCAGTACCGCGGATGTCAGTGCCAGATGTCAGTACCGCGGATGTCAGTGCCAGATGTCAGTACCGCGGATGTCAGTGCCAGATGTCAGTACCGCGGATGTCAGTGCCAGATGTCAGTACCGCGGATGTCAGTGCCAGATGTCAGTACCGCGGAT